GCCAGCCTTCTGGTTAGCAGTCAAGTGCTTTAGCCACTATGCTACCAGACTTGCATTTATATTAACATCTCTTTATTATTGAAAATTTAGACCACTATTAACTTCTCATTACTATAAAACTGTATTCCACTGTATATCCTTAAACATATACCCCTCTAAGCCAAACCAAAGGAGTTCTGTAGGTGTTGTAGTTAAAAGTTCAGCTGTTAACCAAAAGGTTGGCCATTCAAACCCACCAGCCACTCCATAGGAAAAAGAAGAGGTAGTCTGCTTTCATAAAGATTTACAGCCTTGGAAACCCTGTGGGGCAGTTCTGCTCTATCCTCATTGGGTCGCTATGAGTTGGAATCAACTCGATGGCAGTCCAGGTTAGGTGAATTCTGACTTAAAATGTCTGTTAGGAGATGTACATTATATGACTAATATATCAGGAAAGGCAAAAATAATGGTGCTTTGGCAACACAGAGCTATCCAGAGGTTTTTTTATTTATTAGAATTATGATTCATCTTTTTAAAAATGGATAGATCATAATTCTAAGACTAGTTTTTCTATTTTTACAGTATGAAATTGCGTTAAAGTCTTACACCTGATGGCATTTTATAATTTCTGACAGCAAGGCAGCAGTCCTGGTATATTTGTTTGCCTGTGTATTCTTTTGCTTTCTTCATGTATGATGTTCCACAGCCATCTGATCTACTATGTCAGGAATGACAAATTGAAGAGGAATGATGTGGCATTCATCATCACAAAGACTGTTTCAAGATCTGGGCTGTAGTACAATGCTGTCAGTGATAGGATAATATCCGTACACCTTCAAGGAAGACCAGTTAATACTACTATTATTCAAATCTATGCACCAACCACCAAAGACATAATGAGGAAATTGAAGATTTTTATCAACTTTGGCAGTCTCAAATTGACCAAACATGCAGTCAGATTGTGTTGGAATGCAAGAGTTGGAAACAAGAGTTATTGGTAGTTGGAAAATATGCTGGAGATCATATGATAGAATTTTGCAAGACCAGTGATTTACTCATTGTAAATACCTTTTTTCAAAAACATAAACAACAACTATACATGTGGAACTATCCATGTGGACTTCACCATATGGAATATACAGGAATCAGATTGACTGATTGGCCAAACAAGGCCAGAAGCTGACTGTGGAACAGACCATCAACTGCTCATATGCAAGGTGAAGTTGAAGACAATTAAAAGGAGTCCACAAGAGCCAAAATATGGCCTTGATAATATCCCTCCTGGATTTAGAGACCATCTAAAGGATAAATTTGGTACATTGAACACCAGTGACTGAAAACCAGAAGAATTGTGGGATGACATCAAGAGCATCATCCATGAAGAAAGTAAGAGGTCATTAAAAAGACAGGAAAGGATGAAAGGACCAAAATGGATGTCAGAAGAGACTCTGAAACTTGCCCTTGAGCATAGAATAGCTAAAGGAAATGGAAGAAATGACAAGATAAAAGAGCTGAACAGAAAATTTCAAAGAGCAGCTCAAGAAGACAAAGCCAATTACTATAATGAAATGTGCTAAGATCTGGAGTTAGAAAACCAAAAGAGAAGAACATGCTTTGCTGTTCTTAAGCTGAAAGAATGGAGGAAAAAATTTAAGCCTGGAGTCGCAATATTGAAAGCTAAGGCACTTGACTGCTAACCAGAAGGCTGGCAGTTCAAACCCACCAGCCACTCCTTGCAAGGAAGATGGGGCATTCTACTTCCGTAGTGATACTGCTTCGGAAACCCAAGGAGGGGTTGCTATGGGTTGGGTCCGACTCGAGGGTACATAACAATACAACATGGGAAAAATATTGAATGATGCAGGAAGCATCAAAAGAAGATGGAGGGAGGAATACACAGAGTCACTTTACTAAAAAGAACTGATCACTCTTCATCCATTTCAGGAGGTGGCATATGTTAACCAATGGTATTGAAGGAAGAAGTCGAAGCTGCAATGAAGGAATTGGCGAAGAACAAGGCTCCAGAAATTGACAGAATACACATTGATATGTTTCAACAAATAGATGACCCGCTGGAGGCACCCACTTGGCTATGTCAAGAGATTTGGAAGATAGCTATGGGGCTAACTGACTGGAAGAGATCCATATTTGTACCTATTCCAAAGAAAGGTGATCCCACAGAATGTGGAAATTATTGAACAATATCATTAATATCCCATGCAAGTAAAATCTTACTGAAGATAATTCAAAAATGGTTGCGGCAGTATATTGACAGAGCGCTTCCAGAAATGCAAACTGGATTCAGAAGAGGATGTGGAACGAGGGATATTGTAGCTGATGTTAGATGGATCTTAGCTGAAAGCAAAGATGTTTGTTTATGTTTTATTGACTATGGAAAACCATTTGATTGTGTGGATCATAACAAATTATGGATACAATTGAGAAGAATGGGAATTTCAGAACACTTGATTGTACTCATGAGGAACCTGTACATAGATCATGAGGCTGTCATCCAAATAGAACAAGGGGATATTGCATGGTTTAAGATCAAGAATGAAGTGTATCAGGGTTGTATCCTCTCACCATACTTATTCAATTTGTATGCTGAACACACAATCTGAGAAGCTGGATTATGTGATGAAGAACGTGGCATCAGGATTGGAGGAAGACTCATTAACAACCTGTGATACACAGATGACACAACCTTGCTTGCTGAAAGTGAGGATGACTTGAAGCACTTACTGATGAAGATTAAAGACTTTATATTGCGTATGGATTACACCTCAATATTAAGAAAACAAAAATCCTCACAACTAGTCCAATAAATGCTTTGCAACAGATGGAGAAAAGATTGTTGTCAAAGACTTCATATTACTTGGTTCTACAATCAAGACCAATGACAGCAGCAGTTAAGACATCAGACCACGTATTGCATTGGGCAAATCTGTTGCAAAAGACCTCTTTCAAGTGATGAAGAGCAAAGATGTTGTCTCCTTGAAGACTAAGGTGTGCCTGACCCAAGCCATGATATTTTCAATCGCCTCTTATGCATTGTGAGAGCTGGACAATGAATAAGGAAGACCAAAGAAGAGTTGATGATTTTGAGTTGTGGTGTTGGAGAAGAATGCTAAGAGTACCATGTTCTGCTAAAAGGACTAACAAATTTGTCCTGAAAGAAGTGCAGCCAGAATGCTCCTTGGAAGTGAGAATGGCCAGACTTGATCTCACCTACTTTGGTCATATCAGAAGTGAGCATTCCCTGGAGAAGGATACCATGCTTGGTAAAGTGGAGGGGCAACGAAAAAGGGGAAGGCCCTCAACAAGGATTGGCACAGTGGCTGAATTGATGGGCTCAGGTATATCAAGGATCATGAGGCTGGCATAGGACTGTGGGCAGTGTTTGGTTCTGCTGTGCATAGGGTTGCTAGGAGTTGGAGATGACTCGACGGTACCACCACCACCACCATGTGTTCACAGACATAGTCATGACTTCATTTGTCATCATTTGAGTTAGCAT